GGCAGCTGCCGGCTGCACCGTGCAAGGCAAGTTTGCAGTGCAGCACTGCCCGTGCGCGTTTTCTCATGCACTCGAGAAGGGGAAGCAGGCGGCGCCTGGCAGGATGGGCTCAGCAGAAACCACCGATGGAAGCCGACGACGAGGGGGGGAGACATCAGTGCGGAGCAGGCCGAGATGCAGCGCCTCAAGGCCGAAGGTCTCCACTATGCGAACGACGAGGTGACAGCTCATCTTGTCTGTGGGCCAGCCTTCCCACTGCCCGCGCCCGCGTCGGCGGCGCAGCGCGCTGTGCCCGAGCAACCGCCAGAGCCTGTATCTGCGCATGCCTCGCAGTCTTGTGGCGCCGCCCCAGTTCAACTGCAAGTTTCAACGTGTATATATATATATGGATCCAAGTATGCGCTGCACCTCGTCAACGGCCAAAGACGGCCAGGGACGCGCAGAGCCGCTTCGACCATGTCCCGCGTCAGCTCCAGGTAGCGGCGCGGATGCTGTCGGTCGACATCGCCCATGACGGGGTTCGGGGGGGCCCCAGGAATTCCGCTGCCGTGAACCAGTTAATGTTTTCTTGTTTGCGCCGGCAGAATGTTGGCTGCGCTCGCGGGCCCCCTTTGTGGGGCGCGGAGTTCGGTTCAAGCGAATCGTCCGCGGGGCGGAGACGGGGGTCCGCCGCAGCTGCGGTCAGCGAGCTCGCTGCGGGGCATCCCACAGCTCAAAGGACAAGAATGGGCCCAGAGGCCCCTCCTCCCCTGATCGATCAGCTCCTACCGTCATGTTAATGTTGAGGGGACGGCGCACTTGATCCGAATGCAGCGCTCAGATGTTCGCATAGATTTGGTCTGGGTGGACCAGTGCGAAGTCGGAGCTGGGTCGATTCAGCCTGCGTGTTTTCTGGTTGCTAAACTGCCGAGCGTGAGAACTGAGCTGCAGCGGTTTCTGAAGCAGGGCCAATGTTCGCACCCTTACGGCACTCGCAAAGTATTGCCCAGTCGTCCGGAGCATGGCTCTTTTCGAAGAGCTCCAGCAAAAGCAGTACTCTGACAAGTTGTGTGCCTGTCCCCTCGCATGCCAGCCGAAACACCCCCAAAAACCCCCCCGCCCCCACCCCCCAAAAAAAAAATAAAAAAAAAAAAAAGAAAAACCCAAACCCCCCCAAACAAAACACACACCCACAAAAAAAAAAGGAAAAAAAAAAAAAAATGTGTGCCTGTCTCGCATACCACCTTCACTTGTTTTGCGTGGGAGCAGGGGCCTCGTTAGATCCTGTTGGCGGCCATCAAGATGTCGAGGACGACGTAAGTGGTGTCTACACCCCGTTCGAAAGCGTACAATAGTACGCAGACGTTGGGAGGTTCTGGTCGAGATCTTGCTAGGTGAAGCCGCCACGATGAAAGGTTTCTGATGGGGTATGTGGATGTGTGTCGGGTGATCATAATATGCGGCGGCGGCCCCCAGCTCTTCAGGACAGCGAAGACTGCCGCGCGCGCCTTCCCGTGCGCACGCGCCCGCCGTGGAGGCAGGTCGGGACACCGACCTTTGCAAGGAGGGCGGCCTCTGCTGCTGCTGCTGCCGCCGCTCGAGCTCGCTCTCGATCGGGCATTTCGGTGTTCGAGATTCGTTCTGCCGCCTGCGAGCATCGTTTTCGTTGGTCGAAACTTTAGAAACGCCACGAGGCTGAGGAATCGGAGGAGGAGGAGGAGGAGGAGGAGGAGGAGGAGGAAGGATTGGCCCTTGGGGGAGGCCCGGGGCCCCAGAGCCCATCCTTCAGGACCCGTGTCCTCCATGCTAGCGAAGGCAGGCGAACCTTCACCACCACCGCCACCAGCAGCACCACCATCACCCACCACCACCACCGCCACTACCACCACCAGCACCACAACCACCACCACCAGCACCACCACCACCACCACCACCACCACTACCAGCACCCACCACAACCAGCACCCCCACCACCACCACCAGCACCAGGGCCACCACCACAACCACGACCACCACCACCACCACCCACCACCACCACCATCACCACCACCACTGCCACACCACCACCACCACCACAACCACCACCCACCACCACCACCACCACCACCACCACCACCATCCGCCACCGCCACCACCACCACCACCCACCACCACCGCCAGCACCAACACCAGCACCACTACCACCGCCACCAACACCACCACCAGCACCACCACCATCACCACCTCCTCCACCACCACCACGCCAGCCGGCCACCTCGGGCGAGGATGCCCACGATATTTCCCCTAGCTGGAAAGCGGAGGCGTCTCTTGCGGGGCCACGCCATCAGGGACCCTCCCTGGCTCCTCGCGATGGTAGTGGTGGGGCCGACTTTCTTGCCCTTTCAGGCGATTGTCAGATCGGCATCCTGCCAAATCTCAGCATGCTCGAATATTCGTCCTTATTTCATGATTCCCAGAGCCCTTCTTGCGGCCCTGGGGCCGCCAAAGAACCGATTCACGATGCAAAGGCACTCTGCGGGGGTGCCTCCGGACCTACGTATTCGATTTTCATGGACAAGTAACGTGCCCTTCAATACCAGCGCAGGAGGCGCAGGCCCTGTGGATCCTTGGGAAAGTATCGTATGTAATGCCATGCTTTTCTCACTTTCTTGGGCCGCCATCCCTGGGCCCCCGATCTTAATGTTGCGCCAGCCGCGGCCGGCGGCGGCAACATCGGACCGCGTGGCGCCCCGCGCGATCGTTGAACTTGAGAAGAGGGCGTGGGGAGACGGACTGCCCGCGAGAGGTGCATCAGTTTTTCCCGGGGGAGTGCCTTCCGAATGTCATGGCAAATACAGGGGGTCAGATTGCAGCGGTTCGGGAGGATTCCACGGGGGCCTGGGCGGCCGCCCTGTCATGGCTGGTCCAAGGGGGGGGGGGGGCCTGCGGTTGCCTGTCTCGGAGGTTTGTGACCCTTTCCCGTGCTTTTAATCACGAGCCGTGGAACCAGACATCCGGTCCCCCTCATCCTTCTCCTCCTACTCCCTCCCTTCTCCTCCTCCTCCTCCTCCTCCTCCTCCCTCCTCCTCCTCCTTTCCCTCCTCCTCCTTCCCCTCCTCCTCCTCCTTCTCCTCTACCTCCTTCTTTTTCCCAACCATCCTGTGGTGTTGGGTCCTCGTTTTGAAGAGACGGTGCCCCGCGTTCCTCTCCTCTCCTCCTCCTCCTCCCTCCTCCGGGGGTGTTCGCATGCGGTTCCCCCACCCAGGGCAGCGTTTCGTGGCCCCATAGGGAGCTCCACCGAAGGCCCCAGTGGGGGTGTTCGCATGCGGTTCCCCCACCCAGGGCAGCGTTTCGTGGCCCCATAGGGAGCTCCACCGAAGGCCCCAGTGGGGGTGTTCGCATGCGGTTCCCCCACCCAGGGCAGCGTTTCGTGGCCCCATAGGGAGCTCCACCGAAGGCCCCAGTGGGGGTGTTCGCATGCGGTTCCCCCACCCAGGGCAGCGTTTCGTAGCCCCATAGGGAGCTCCACCGAAGGCCCCAGTGGGGGTGTTCGCATGCGGTTCCCCCACCCAGGGCAGCGTTTCGTGGCCCCATAGGGAGCTCCACCGAAGGCCCCAGTGGGGGTGTTCGCATGCGGTTCCCCCACCCAGGGCAGCGTTTCGTAGCCCCATAGGGAGCTCCACCGAAGGCCCCAGTGGGGGTGTTCGCATGCGGTTCCCCCACCCAGGGCAGCGTTTCGTGCCCCATAGGGAGCTCCACCGAAGGCCCCAGTGGGGGTGTTCGCATGCGGTTCCCCCACCCAGGGCAGCGTTTCGTGGCCCCAGGGAGCTCCACCGATAGGTTCGCATGCGTTCCCCCACCCAGGCAGCGTTTCGTAGCCCCATAGGGAGCTCCACCGAAGGCCCCAGTGGGGGTGTTCGCATGCGGTTCCCCCACCCAGGGCAGCGTTTCGTAGGCCCCATAGGGAGCTCCACCGAAGGCCCCAGTGGGGGTGTTCGCATGCGGTTCCCCCACCCAGGGCGTTCGTAGCCCCATAGGGAGCTTGCGTGGCCCCAGTGGGGGTGTTCGCATGCGGTTCCCCCACCCAGGGCGCATGCGGTTCCCCCACCCAGGGCAGCGTTTCGTGGCCCCATAGGGAGCTCCACCGAAGGCCCCAGTGGGGGTGTTCGCATGCGGTTCCCCCACCCAGGGCAGCGTTTCGTAGCCCCATAGGGAGCTCCACCGAAGGCCCCAGTGGGGGTGTTCGCATGCGGTTCCCCCACCCAGGGCAGCGTTTCGTGGCCCCATAGGGAGCTCCACCGAAGGCCCCAGTGGGGGTGTTCGCATGCGGTTCCCCCACCCAGGGCAGCGTTTCGTGGCCCCATAGGGAGCTCCACCGAAGGCCCCAGTGGGGGTGTTCGCATGCGGTTCCCCCACCCAGGGCAGCGTTTCGTGGCCCCATAGGGAGCTCCACCGAAGGCCCCAGTGGGGGTGTTCGCATGCGGTTCCCCCACCCAGGGCAGCGTTTCGTGCCCCATAGGGAGCTCCACCGAAGGCCCCAGTGGGGGTGTTCGCATGCGGTTCCCCCACCCAGGGCAGCGCTTCGTGGCCCCATAGGGAGCTCCACCGAAGGCCCCAGTGGGGGTGTTCGCATGCGGTTCCCCCACCCAGGGCAGCGCTTCGTGGCCCCATAGGGAGCTCCACCGAAGGCCCGCCCCGGTGGCGCAGTCCGCCTGCGGTTCCCCCATCCAAGGCAGCGCTGCGTGGCCCCATATGGAGCCCCACCGAAAGCGGCACCCACAACGCGTTACCAACAATTGCTTATGGTTGGGTCTTTCGCCAGGATAATTTTTTTCTCCTGCTCCTCTTCCTCCTCCTCCTCCTCGGGGCCGGTTTTTCGTCCTGGGTCGTTTTCGACGCTCCCGATGCCCAGCGAGGGCCCCCCGGAGGCCGAACACGGGCAAGGTTTTGCCGCGTCCCAATGTTTGCTTGAGCGTCGGATCTCTGGGGAGCTGGCAGGAGGCCCCGCCTCGCTGCCGCCGTGGCGGCTGCCTCCCGGAGAGGACCACCTCTGCTACGTGTGGCGCGCAGTGGAGGCCCTCGCCGCCTGGACGGTTCCCGTCCACCCGGCGGAGGATGGCCGCCGGGTGGCCGCGCGCCTGGCCGAGGAGAAGTTCAGGAGCGCGTGCCTATGTCCTTCCCGGGTGGTGCCGGGAGTAAGCCCAGACCCCTCAGCTCGGGAAATGAAGAAATCTGGGGGCCTAGGCTGGCCCTCGAGGCCTTCACAAAAGCAACTCGGGATGAAAAGCCGGTCCAGGGGAATGGGTGGATACCTCCAGGGGTCGACGTAATGAAACAATCATGACGTCGGATGTCTGGGAAACGTGGGTGGGGGGAGGGATTTTTCCCCCTCCTCTCGGGCCGGACGAAAGGGGGGGATTGGGAAAGGGGTGGGTACAAAATTTGCTGCATGCAGCTGGTTTCGGCCCCACCGAGGTGCCCATTCCTCGATACATGGGCGCCTCCCGGCGCCTGGAGGCGCCGGGAAAATCAGCTACATGAGCTGATTCTCAACCCCCCCCTTTGCTATCCCCCCCTTTCGCCCGGCCCTATCCTCCCCCTCCTTCTCCCTCCTTCTCCCTCCTCTCGATCCTTCTCTTCATCCTGCCACCCTGAGATCTCCCCCCTTCCTCCCAAGTCCTCTCCTGCTGCTGCTACTGCTGTTCCTCCTCCTCCTCCTACTCCTCCTCCTCCTCCTCCTCCTGCTCCTCCACCTCCTCCTCCTTCTCTTGGGGGGGGGGGGTGGGGCGATGGGGCCGGTAACGTCACGTTTCGTGCGGGAACATTCAGGCATAACCCAAAAGCCAAATCGGAAGCCAGCACGAATCGTGACTTTGCCTGCTGTGGGGGGGAGCGGCCGGGGTCGCGAAAAAGAAAACGCTCCCCAGGAGGCTGAGCGTGAAGGACGATGACATTCGAAGGAAAATAACATGGCAGATGCATGCGCTCTCGGAGCTTCGCGCGTGCTTCTTGGATCGGCGCTGGAAATCAGCCCGCTGCTCGTGCTGGAGAGCCCTCGTCGCCCCGGCTGGGTTCTCCTGGGAGTTCTGATCGGCACGCGTCCCAGGAGAGGTCCGTGGAGCAGCTGTCTCCGTCCCTTCTCTGCGCACCCCGGGCAGCCCTAAGCAGCGCCGGAGGCGCCGCCTGCGGCGCGCTCCGCTCGCCATGGATGGGGGGGCCCAGAGCAGGTTCAAGGAATTTGCGCGGATCTCCGAAAGTTTGCAGTGGAGGCCCATGCCAAGAAACACCCTGCTTGCCTCTTGGTTTCTTGGGTTTCGACGGTTTTGCTGCGGAAAGCGTGACGTTCCCACACCAAAGGTCAATGAATCAATGAACGTCCTGAGGTCTCAGGGTTAGTTTTCTTGTGGAAGGTTTCTTGTGGACTGGCCTCCACTGTATGTGTGGGTGCCGTGTTTTCTTCCTCTGGGCATGCGGGCGACCTTCGAGGCCTTCTGGGGCCAGCCCCGGCGGCGCGCGCAGGGAGGGCGGTCTGGCGGGGAGGCCGGGGGGGCTCTCCGAAGGGATTGCGGCCCCCCCACCCTGCCCCCCACCCTTCAGTCGGGCATATCCCTCTACAGGAGGAATATTCAAACATAGTCAACAAATAGTCAGGGGACGATTTGTTTCATTAGTTTTGGCTATGCTTTAATGTTTTTGACTCTACAGTTTTCCGTCCAAAATTCGCCTGCAGGAGGACATGCCCGACCTATTCCCACCCCTCTTTGCCGAGGCAGGGGTTTGTCGATGACCACCGCCTGGGAGATCGATCTTCGGGGACCTGGGCAGGCGGTGTTTGACATTCTAGATCTCCTCGATGGGGTCCGAGTGGGTGGGGACGGAGGATCGCGCCGCATCGCCGATGCTTCGCCGATGCGGCTCGATGTGGAGCCCGTGTTTCCCCACGACGACGTCGGCGATGCATCGCCAACGTCGCTGATGCATCGCCGATGCATCGCCGAAACATCGGCGAGGCATTTGCGATGCGGCGCGATCGTCCGACCCCATCTACTCGGACCCCATCTAGGAGGCCTCTAGTATTGCCCCCTTCCCCTGGGGCCCGAATCTATCATATCTACCGCCTGCCGAGGTGCTTCGAGGCGGGGTGCCTGGCTTATAAACCACGCCCTCGCCCCCACCCCCTTGTGCGCACCGCCAGCCAGCGCCTTGAGAACGTCACCTTCGGGAAGCGGAAGATGTCGCGAAACAGCATCAGGCTGTTGCAGTGGCTGTGGGGCCGCGTCGGGGCGTTGTTGAAGGACTCGCACGCCAGTTGGAGTCGAAGGGGCAAGACCATCATGACCACTACCAGTCATGATCATCGTATGTTCGACTCCATGATTTCTATCCTTCTCATCATCGCGCGCTCCTTGCTCGCTCTCCCCCAGTGAATTTCTATCCCTATTCCTTCCCTCGTCGGTTCCTCTGAGTGTTTGTTACCTCTTTCCTCGCGCTCCCTCCACCTCTCGGATCATTTCCTCCTCCGGAGCGCTTCCTCCTTCGGAGCGCTTCCTCCTTCACCGCTCTCTCCCTGTCTCTCTTTCTTTCTCTCTCTCTCTCTCTCTCTTCCTCTGCGTTGCTGCGCCCGAGGGACTGCGACGGCGGGTTGCCGATGCTGCTGTCGGGTGTCCGCTCCGTCTCCCTCAACGCTTTTGAGGATCGCTGCGTTGTAGCAGGATCTCTGCAGAGGAGGAGGAGGATCTATGCTTGCAGCGCCAGCCGCTTTCTCACATGCCACGTTCTAGTGCATGACCTTGCCTATTTCATGGAGCCTTGGGTAGTGTTCCTTGTTTTGCCCGCATGGCGACCTGTCTGACTCGCATTGGAGCTGCTGCATTGTTGAGTCGAGCAGGGAGTCTCGTGCTCCTCTCTCCTCCTCCTCCTCCTCTCTCCTCCTCCTCCTCCTCCTCCTCCTCCTCCTCCTCCTCCTCCCCCTCCTCCTCTCTCCTCCTGCTCCTCCTCCTCCTCCTCCTCCTCCTCCTCCTCCTCCTGACAAGTCTGCACCGCAGGAGGAGGAGAAGGCGGAGGATGAGGAAGCTGCCAGCGGACCCACGGACGCCTCGCCGGCGGCCTCCTGGCGGGGACGGGCACCAGGAGTGCTCGGCCGAGTGGGCCACGAGCTGTGGGGCGCACGGCCGTTCGCCTCGCTGGCCCGAGCTTGCTGGGGACTTGTGGCCTCTGGTCGAGGTGCTCTCTGCGGATGTAATCTTTCACGATCCGGCAGGCCACCCCGATCCGACACGAAGGGAGGCGCTACGTTGCCCTCCACTCCCAGCGGGGCGGCCTCCCGGAGTCACCGACGGACACAGATGGAGCCCCTGCGCCTCCCGGCCCGAAGTCTTGGGGCTTCGGTCTGGTCTGGGGCGGGCTGGCAGGTTGTCCACCTCTGGGTCTGCGTACATCTGTTGGACCGCGTCGGCTTTGCCGGGCTCGGATACCGAGGTCGCCAGCGGCGAGGCACCAGCGCGCCCCTGCTCCTTGGAAGCCGCCCGGGCCGTGAGATGCCGGGCGGAAGTCCGTGAGGAGGAGGAGGAGGAGGAGGAGGAGGAGGAGGAGGAGGAGGAGGTGGGAGGGTGAGGTGGGAGGGGGAGGAGGAGGAGGAGGAGGAGGAGGTGGGAGGAGGAGGAGGAGGAGGAGGAGGCGGAGGAGGAGGAGGAGGAGGAGGCTCCGGCAACCGCTGGCAAACGTGCTGGGGGAACCGACTGGCCGTCTTGGGGCCTGTCTTGGGGTCGCTGCTCGGGCCTGTCGGGCCTTCTCGTGGGGGCCTCACGCCTGGCGACCCCCGAGGGGTCGGACACTCTCCAGCGATGCCCAACGAGGAGGAGCAGCCATCAGAAGAGGGCGCTCACGCGTGCTAAACACTGCTTTCCGACGTCGTCCGAGGAGGAGGCGGAGGAGGAGGAGGAGGAGGAGCAGCAGCAGGAGCATGAGGAGGAGGGAGGACGAGGAAGAGCAAGAGCAGGAGCAGGAGGAGGAGGGAGGACATGACAAGGTGGGGTACGATCGAGGATCGAGGCTGCAGCTCTCTGTCCCCGCTTCCCGCAGGGCCTCTGCCCGCCGGGCGACGCCACCGCCGTCGCTGCCGCCATCCGCTGCGTGCCTCTCGGCGTCAACCCAGCATACTTTACGCAGCACCCCGCAATTGCGGATAAGAGAGAGGGGGCGGGCGCGGGCGACGCGGGCGTTGAGCCGGCGGACCTCGTGGCCCTCACGAATGCAAAAGAAACCTGGAACGAATGCAAAAGAAGCCCGCCGCAGGCGCCGAAAATTTTGGGTGGATCGCGGGGTGGGTCGCGGGTGGGTCGCGGTGTGTCGCGGGTGGGTCGCGGGTGGGTCGCGGGTGGGTCGCGGGTGGGTCGCGGGTGGGTCTCGGGGTGGGTCGCCAGTAGGTCGCGCGTGGGTCGCCGATGCGAAAGAATTCTGCCGCAGGCGCCGAGGTCCTGGCTTGTTCAGTGAACGTAGTTTGGGTTGCGGGTGGGTCGCGGGTTCCCCACCTCCACCTCGAAGGAATTCAAAAACAGCCCGCCGCAGGCGCCGAAACTTTTGATTTGTACACTGAACGCGGTTTGGGTCGCGGGTGGGTCGCAGGTTCTCCACCCGGAACAACCTGGAACGAATGCAAAAGAAACCCGCCGCAGGCGCCGAAAATTTTGGGTGGGTCGCGGGGTGGGTCGCGGGTGGGTCGCGGGTGGGTCGCGGTGGGTCGGGGGGTCGCGGGTGGGTCGCGGGTGGGTCGCGGGGTGGGTCGCGGGCGGGTGGGTCGCCGGGGGGGTCGCGGGGTGGGTCGCGGGGGGTCGCGGGGTGGGTCGCGGGTGGGTCGCGGGTGGGTCGCGGGTGGGTCGCGGGGTGGGTCGCGGGTGGGTCGCGGGGTCGGGTCGTGGGTCGCAGGTTGGGTCGCGGGTGGGTCGCGGGGTGGGTCGCGGGTGGGTCGCGGGGCGGGTCGCGGGTGGGACGACAACATTAACACACAACAGCTAACAACAACAACAACAACAACAACAACAACAACAACAACAACAACAACAACAATCACTTTACCCGAACGCTCAGTGTTCTCACCAGTGCCAGGGTTTTCATGCGACGCCAGCCAATACCCCCACTTTGTGGGGGGGCAGTGCAAGCTCTACCAAATATCCACACGACTCTTCGCCACCACCCACACCCAGCTTCCCGCCCTATGACGTTCGGACACTTCACTTCGTGGCCTGCGGACGACCGTGGCTACTACACTGGCGTGGAGTACACACCCACAGAAGTTGTTAAGCCTACGTTCGTACACCCACAGAAGTTGTTAAGCCTTGTTAACCCACAGAAGTTGTTAAGCCTTCCACAGAACATCTGTTGCATACGATGCATATGGTACATGATACACATGATACACACGATACGTACTCACAAGATAGTTGATCACATCTTTAGGGCAAATTCCTGAGGGATGTGGGATGGCGCGCGCGAAGAAAAAACGAATGTGTCCCGCATGGTATTATTTGACAGGGATGATGGCCCTGGCAGGTGCGCAACCGTTGTCGCAGAAGTTCGAAAAAGTTGCTCGCAAAAGCCCGTTTGACAGAAATGTTTAAAAAGTGTTGGTTTCCTACGAATCCGCAAGAGCGCGCGGGATGAGATTTTGACATTTTTTTGTTGAAAAACCATTGGTTTTTTGATGTTTTTATGTTAAAATCGCTCCGAACACTAAGCTTTTGGAAGGATTTCGTCTTGCGCGCGCGAATGTCCACTTTACCTTATTTTTTGCAAGGGATTCTTGAAATTTGATTATATTAGAACAAGAAATGTCATTTTATAGTGTTTTTTGCAAGGGAAAACGGATTACAACAAAACAACCGGATCTTGATGACATCGTATTACCTGAGGCTTCCTCACGAAAATGATGAAAATGTAGCTGCGGCCTAGGCGGCGCAGGGGGGCCGTGCACCAGGGGTCCCAACAATAATTATTCTTTAGAATTAATAATGTTCAACAACAACAACAGTAACAGCAACAGCAACAGCAACAACAACAACAACAAGAACCCGCATCGCGGAATTCTATTTCAGCCACGCACCCAGGGTCAGTGAATAACCGTTCGGTTCAGCCCCCTCACTCTGATTAAGTCGGGCGTTTCCCTTTACATGAAGAGTATTCGAAAGTAGCGAGACGTAGTCTGGGGAAGTTTTTTTGAGTTTTAATTGTTACACGAATTGGCATTATTACTATTTGTGGGTACGTTTAAATCTTTTAATTTTTTCGCGCAGAATCCACCTGTAGGGGTGCACGCCCGACCTAATACTTTCACTAAATGTGCGTCGCCCCCCGAGGGGTGACGTGCGCACCGAGAAATCTTGCAGTGTATGCGTCGTGGCTGGCGCTGTCTGGCCACTCCGCTCGGGAAACGATGTGCTCAGAAGATGGGTACACTGTTCATACGTTCGGGTCGGACGCGCGCCTCCGAGGACAGATCGTGCTGGTCCGATGTCTCTGTGCGTCCCAGCCTCTGCTGCCGCAGCAGACATCGCCAGTCCCAGTCGACAGCGCGCAGGTCCTGGTCTTAAGTCGAACATGCCTCTACAGGAGGCATATCCGAACATAGTAAAACAATAGTCTGGGGACGACTCTTTGATATTTATTTAACTCTCTGGGTGTAATGTTTGATTCTATTTGATTTTTTCGCCCCGACTCCACCTGTAGGGGGACATGCCCGACCTCATCCTGGTCCGAAAGGCGCTGCGCCCTCTGGCCGCGCTCCTCCCTCTCGCGGGCCCGGTGTTCGCCAGGAGGGCGAGGGCGAGAAGTCCCCGAGCGCCGGCAGGGCGCCGCGTCGGGAGGCGTGCCGGCCTGCCCCTGCACGGGTGGAGGAGGGGGAGGGGGAGGAGGAGGGGGGGAGGAGGACTCCAAGGTTCAAGGGTTGGCTACTTCCTGTGGGCCATGCCCCAAGCAGATGCAAAGAGGAGGAGGAGGAGGAGGAGCAGGAGGAGGAGGAGGAGGAGGAGGAGGAGGTGAGAAGAGGAGGAGGAGGAGGAGGAGGAGGAGGGAGGAGGAGGAGAGGAGGAGGAGGAGGAGGAGGAGAGGGAGGAGGAGGAGGGGGGGGAGGAGAGGGAGCAGGAGGAGGGGGAGGAGGAGGAGGAAGAGGAGGAAGAGGAAGAGGAGGAGGAGGTGGAGGAGGAGGGTGAGGGGCAGGGGGAGCAGGAGGAGGAGCGGTAGGGGGGGGAGGAATGCAAACCCAAGATTCATCAGGGATATTGCACCAGACCATTCTTGAA